GGGTCACATATATTCGATAGTGTATGTTTCGCCGGTAGAAAAGAAAGTTGGAAGAAAGTAGTTAGTAATTCCGTTGGAAATGTGGGATTGACATCTTGAAACTCGCCACGTGCTTTGCCAATTTTGCTTACGAAGACAGTTTCGAGACAGTTCCTCGATGCGCTAATTAATGGTATATGTTTTGGTGTATTTTATTGGGAAATTTTTCATATTAATAATTCTAGCTATTTTCGAAACGAAATCGTAATTTGCGAAACGGTATTTTGCGGATAGTTATTAAATAATAGTTATTAAATAAAAGACGAAGGAAGCTCAGTTTTGTTCTACGGTGGACGTCAGTCATTTCGCGTTTTAAGATTGGCTGCAGCGTGTGAAAACAATTCACTAAACAGAAAACTATAATAAATCAACATTTAAGCACTTAAAATTGACCCACCTTTCCGATCTCTTCGACCGTTTTGAGCTTCGCTCTGACCTTTCAGGCGACCAGGATTGGGAACGTGACCTGGAAATAATAATACAATTTTGATAGCGTATGACCTGTAGTGAACAACAGACAATTAAACATGAACCGAATATCGATTACGATATCAAGCTTGAGTTTAACCTACCGTCTGTCCGATCTCTCTTCTTTTTTTCCCCATTTGTAGATTACAGTTCGATTACTCTTGGAAACTCTAAAAACACACCGACACGTCACTCGAGGCAGATAGTCACAAAGAGACGAACCAGACAGTGATGACATAACGACCATAAAAAGCACGCACCAATCAGGACCGAAATCGGGAAAAAGTTGCGCAATCGGCTGGAAAAGGAGGATCTGTAATTGAATAGCGCGACTAGAATCTGAGACTGGAAGGCACCGAAAGGTTATAAAAACCATCAAAGACATCAAAGATTTGACGAAGGTTGCAAGTTTCGAGCGCATGATCTCTATCGCTTCTTTACGCGATTCTATTTTGGTATAATTCTTTATTCCCAATGAAGCCCTCGTTATTCATTATTCATTTTCTTTTTAAGCCGTTATTCCTTATTCATTTTCTTTTTCAAGCCGTTATTCATTATTCATTATTCCGCTTCCACTCCCGAAAAACGTGCAAGAAAACAATTAGTAACATAAGTCGCACTGCCAATGCCGCCAGTAAACAGCAGTACTGATAAACTGTTCATACGTGTTATGTCAAGAAATTTACTGTTAAATACACTTCGAGAAAATATATTAAAAGACCTAAAAAGTCATAATCATCATGTGCACTCTAAAGGAGCCGTTTGTTTATTATCTGTAGTGCAACGTCGAACGTTCGACATACAGTATTTTCCCTGCTGAATGCAATGTCTTGTTCTGGTAGAATTCAAGGAGGTGGAGCCACAAGGTCCTCTGTTCCGGGCTTGCAGAATGTTCGAATCTCGCGGAAGAGATACTGTTTTCGGTCGTGACTTAATCCTTCAGGGTTGATCGTGGGTGGCAGCATGGATGCAGGCGGCAGGATAGCGAGGTCACTGTTTTTCAGCAGCGTTCGTGACTGTTCGGGAGAAGTGCTAAATTCTTTAAAGTAAACTTTTCCAGGTTCGTCTTTCGAAAATCTGAAATGATGGTACTTTTTATGTTCGGCAGTTTGTTGAAGTACCTCTCGAGAAATGAAGACCAATAGTAAGCTGTAACAATGGTCCTTCCGTCGTGTGTACCAACCAGCTGTGCCTTGTTGACACCAACGGTGCTTGAACCCTCCACTATGTCCGCAAACTCATACAAAGATGAAACAAAATGTACTTTATAAGATCTCTTGATTATCCCGAAGCAGCGATCGGGACCAAACTTCGTATGGCCGGCAATTAGGAAAGAGTAATTAATGGAGTCATGCAACCGCAGGATCGTTCTCCATGCTAGATACCAGATAAAATAATTGTTTTTGTTCTGTCCCGAGCAGTTGTCTGAGTGAAGATATGCCTGTGTTTCGCCAAGTCCGTGGTTTTGGAAATAGTGATGAGCATAACTGATCGTGGTGTTTGCTCCTTTACCAACGTCACTCACCTCGTCAATTAGATAATTTACTTGTCGGGGTATTGCTTCGCACATGACACCGAAAATTCCACATTTACGGGGTGTCTTGAAATAAATGAGTCCTGGCTGCATCAGATTGCTAGAAATATGGATCTGCTGGGCAAAGTCGAAAGAATAATGAACTGTTGTCTGCAGGGAACAGGCTTCGTGAACTTCGTCCAAATCTATTTGGTCTTCAATCGTTTGAAAGTTGGTTTTCGCTTCCTGGCAGACTCTCTTATAAAGCTCTCTTTCCGTTTGAACACAGTTCAGATGCTCGTGCTGGGCTCGAACGCACTCGGATTTTTCCTGGTCCGGAAGATTAGCAGATCGTAGTAGCTTAGAGGTGTTTTGCTGGCAGGTTATACAAAGGTCGGACATAGGTTTTGCTACAAAAACGTCCGGGTGAAACTGCTGCCACAGATCAATAAACTTAGTGTAGGAGACCGCTTGCTTTTCAGTTTCTAGACATGCTTTTTTAAACTCGCGCCAAACAGACATTTTGGTATCACTCGATGAGAGCAGCTTGATGTCGTCATTCTTAAAACCTGGTATCCTGCCAGGAAGAAGAACAGCGTTTTCTTCGGCGTAATTTGTTAGAAAGCTTTTTTACATCCTCACTCACCGCGTGCGGTGTGGTGTTGTGTGGCAGTCTTTTGCGGTTTCCGTGAGACCTCAGCGATATTCCATTTTCTTCGTAGTGGTCTTTCAGTCGGCGGAATCGGGAATAACTGATCCCGTAAAGTTTTAGGAACATTTCTTTGCAGATGGCTCTGGCTTGAAAAGTAAAACTGCATCGAGGACTCCGTTTTCTTTTTTCACCCGATACTTCAATGCTCGTGAATGCTTGGATGTTGGCCAGTATGACCAAGTCGAGTTCGCCATGTGATAGTTCCATACAGTTATTCAAATTTACAAGTACAGCTGCTTCCGAGAATTGTTGAGAACAATGACCACCTTTAATGCCCAGAGAACATCCGCATCCAGCTTGAAGAAACTGTTTCACTTTCCCCACGATTTCCTCTTTGTCAATTAATAACTCAACTTGATCCCCTTCATCCATTTTGGTGATTTGATGAAGAGTTGTAGCAAGATTTAAATTCCATGTAGTTGTCAAGACAACGCGCTTTAGAGTGGAAGTTGATTGGCTGAACTGAACGTTTCGTTACCTTTTGCAAAATATCAAACACGTTATGCAAATTTCGCTTGTGGCGAATGTTGTGATTTGACAAGTGTAAACGCCGCTCGTTGCTCTTATTGACCCAAAGAGATGGTTTCGTCCACCTAAAATAACCTTAGTTCTCTGTATCTCTGTTACTGGTAGATATTTAACGAGAAATGTGCACAGGAATGTTTGATTTTGAACTTTAAAAAACAGGTTCTGAGTTAATGTCGGAAACGCAACCACAAAGTCGATATTCAGCTGAAAATTGAATGATGTTTGTTTTCTTTGCTCTGTGTCAAAGTAATCTGGTCGTTGATTGAAAATAACTATCATCTTTACCCGTTCAACCGTTCACAGCAATCCGTTCAGCCGTTCACCGTAGCCGTTTAGTCGTTCGCCGTCAGCCGTTCAAAAATTTTCCACAACCGTTCGGCCGTTCACCGTCAGCCGTTCAAAATTTTTCTACAGCCGTTCAGCCGTTCACTGTCAGCCGTTCAAGACTTTTCCGCAGCCGTTTACCGTGAGCCGTGAGCTGTTCAAAAATTTTCCACAGCCGTTCACTTTGAACCGTTCAAAAATTTTTTTCAGCCGTTCAGCCGTTCACTTTGAGCCGTTCAAAATTTTTCTTCGGCCGTTTAGCCGTTCATGTTAGCCGTTTCAATCGGCTTGGCCATCCGTTTGTCATCCGTTCACTAGCCGTGCGTTTTGCCGTTCGAACGGATAGCCGCTAGTGTACGTTTTCGCGTGAGAGGTCACATGTTATATATCCCTGAAGCACTCGGGCATTACATTGAATGCCAGGAATTCAACCTGGGTGAACCAGAAAGGACAGACAACATTTCCCTCTATTAACAGCAATTCACGCCGCCATTTAGATTTATCACAACAGAATCGTTGCTAATTAGTGTATATTGTAATGTAACCGTAATTGTATGCAAAATGCCCGAAGGTATAAAACACGTGAATTTTGACTCTACATTTATCATTACTTGGATTAGTGTGTGCGCGAAAAGAACCTTATTTTTACAGGACCGAGTAGTTAACATGGTGTTAGGATTTAACAAACCCAGCCAAGACTAACGTCGACAGCGATCACCGCGATCAACTCTCTCAACCTACAATGGCTGAATTGGAGCATTTACCAGCGCCGAAAGGAAACTTTACGCCAGGCCCCGAATGTTACCAAAAGTGCTTGGATTGGGTTGAGGAATGCGAACTTCCTTTGAATGGTCCGCTAGCTTCGTAAAGCAAAGCTGTGAAAGCAAATTATGTTCTCATTTAGGCAGGAAAAGCTGGAAGAACACACATTAGGTCACTGAATCTCACTACGGAAGAGAAGGGAGATCCAAGCGTGCTGTTTAAAAAGTTCGTGGAGTGGACAAAGCCGAAATCCAACGTACTCGCAGCCGCATCAAACTTCCGCCGCCTGGAGCAAGGTGATCTTAGCCTTGCAGAGTACATTGATAAAGCCACTATTCTGTGCGACCAGTGTGAATATCCTCCAGAAGCCCGTGACCGACTACTTCGGGATGCAATAGTTATTGGACTATGCTCGAAAGAGGCATATTACAAATGCATTGAAAAAGGTTCCGAATTGACGCCAGAAGAGGCAATAGAAATCGCTCAGAATCAGGACGCCACAACACACCAAGTGGGTTATATGCGACCGGAATTCAAAGGCGAACCACTACAAATGGAAGTTCATAAACTCCAAGGAAACAGGCAATCAAGAGCCAACCAGAACAGACAGCAGCAACAGAGACCAGCTTCCAGTGATCGGAAACAGGGAAGGTCAAAGAGGGAAACTTGTTTCTATTGTGGAGCGAAACCGTCACATCCCAAACGTGAGTGTCCCGCAAAGAAGGCAAAGTGCTTCAAGTGTGGGAAGGAAGGGCATTACGGCTCCGTGTGCAAATCAAAGAGTAAAGACGCACGTGTCAATGAGTTACAAGTCCAGTCTACAACAGCTTCTGAATGCACGGACTGCGTACTGAATGAATACGAGCCAGTTTACTTGAACGCGCCTATTCATCACCTCAAGACAGTAACAGTAGAAAGTCTCAATCATCCAAAACCAGAACCTCACATCCGCCCGCTATGGCTCAGCCAGGAATTTCCATCACAAATCTTCCAGATTGACTGCGAGGTTGATATCGGAGCAAGTTGTAACATACTGCCGTTGTACAAGGCTAAAGCACTCTTCGGAAACGACTTGAAGTTAGGCAAACCAACCGTGAATCTCAAGGGCTACAATGACAGTCCAGTGGAGAACCTTGGTTCCTGCATTGTGTACCTTTACCATGGTAACAAGATATTCAGAGTTTTGTGCGAAGTCGCAGACAGCAAAGGTCATATGATCCTAGGCAGAAAGCAAGCGTTAATCATGGAATACGTCAATTTCCCTGAAATCCAGAAACCTGGTGTCCAAGCTAAAACAGATAGGTCTATCAAAACAATCGTGGAAGAGCCCACGAAAACCACTAATGGTCCAGTAATTCCAAGACTTCAGAAATGCACTGATCCAGTGGTACCAGTGATCCAAAGCAGCACTAATGAGAAGATAACCATTAAAGGAAAGACACACTCATTGCCCACCACTAAGGATTACTTACTGCAGGAATACGGCGATGTGTTTCAAGGCATAGGAACTTTACCAGGTGGACCTTATCGTACCCAGTTAAAGGAAGGCTACAACTCCGTTCAACACCCACCGCGCCAAGTTGCAGTCAGCCTAAAACCACCCTATAAAGCAGAATTGGAGAGATTGACACAGCTTGGAGTCATTAAAGAAGTAAGGGAGCGCTCTGAGTGGATTACCTCGATTGTTCCAGTTAAGAAACCAGATGGTTCCTTACGGCTATGTCTTGATCCAAAAGATCTCAACCGAGCGATAAAGAGAAATCAGTGGTACAGCAGAACAGTCGATGACATCCTACCGGAATTAGCAAATTCGAAGTATTTCAGCTTGCTTGACGCGAAATCGGAATATTGGCATGTCTCTCTTGACAAGGAAAGCAGTTACCTGACAACTTTCCATACACCCTGGGGCAAGTACCGATGGCTACGCCTACCCTTTGGGCTAAAGGTATCAGGGGATGTATTTCAGGAAAGAATCGACAGAGTACTGAAAAGTGTCCCCAATAGCGTTAGAATCGTTGACGATATCCTTTGCCACCGCAACGAAGAAACTACCCATGACGTTGCAGTCATCACCCTGCTAGAGACAGTGAGAGTTAACAATCTCAGTTTCAATGCAAACAAATCTGTGTTCAAGTCTCAAGATTGCACATTCTTCGGAGGAAAACTTACCCAGCCGGGTACAAGATAGACCCCAAAAAAGTGCAAGCCATCACAGAGATGAAACCACCAGACAACCTTCAAGATCTGCAAAGCTTCCTAGGACTGGTAAACTACCTAAACCGGTTCAGTCCATCACTGGCAGATTTAACAGCACCGCTTACAACCCTCTGTAAGAAGGACACTCTCTTTACTTGGGAAAGTTCACAACAAACAGCATTTGAGGCTATCAAGAAAGAGATTACAAGTGCACCAGTATTGGCATACTTTGATCAGTCTAAAGCTAGCACTATTCAGTCAGACGCATCCAAGAAAGGACTAGGAGCAGTTCTTCTCCAAGATGATAAGCCTGTGATCTACGCATCAAGAGCCCTCACTGAGACGGAACAATCTTACTCTAACATTGAACGAGAGCTGCTCAGTGTTGTTTTTGCACTTGAAACATTTCATCATTATCTGTATGGATACACAGCGACGGTGCAAACAGATCACAAACCATTGGTCAGCGTGTGGAAGAAATCCATAGTGTGTAACTCACCACGCCTTCAGAGGCTATTGCTGAGACTATCTCAGTATGACGTAAACATTGAATACCTGAAAGGGAAGGATAATGTCGTAGCTGACGCACTGTCCAGAGTATCTCCTCAGCCAACACCTAAAGAAGGAGAAGACAAGGAAGATTTCGTCCCAGTTCACATGCTCACAGAGGAAATCCCCGCCGGTTCTACGAGAGTTGGAGATTTCAGACGCGCAACTGCAGAAGACACTATTTCCGGCCTACTGATTCAAGTGGTAGCAAATGGATGGCCTGAGTTAAAGAAAGATTGCCACCAACTTCTTGTAGACTACTGGAACTACAGAGAAGAGATCAGCGCAGAGAATGGTCTATTGTTCAAAGGCCATCGGCCCATAGTTCCTGAGAAATTGCGTAGCAGAGTCCTCCAAACCATCCACGAAGGTCATTTTGGTTTTGAGAAGATGCAACTAAGAGCCCGAGAAGCAGTATTCTGGCCAGGAATAACTTTAGATTTACTACAGA